AGGCTGCAATGCTTGGTAAGAAATGTACGCATTATCCTGCCCATGTAATTGTAACCCCTCTGTACAGTATGTTCACAAATAAAATAAAATTAAATTAAAAAAAAAGACAACACAGCAAGTATAAATCTGAGTATATCATTCACAAGTGGATAGTTAGGCAGCATTGATCATACATTTTAAAAAAAAACAAAATATTTAGTCCTTCAATTTCCTGATTATCAATCTAGCCTCTGTGCAAATAAAAAAAAGAGCTGGTCCCTGCAGCCACTTGCAATAGTATGTGTGAGAGAGGATCATAATCAAAATGGGTATCAAATGAATAATGCAGGGCCTAGCCTTAACACGGAAAAGTTTGTAGTTCTTAAGAATAAGACAATATAGGAGAATAGGAGGTGAGGGATGTCCATGTAGCGGGAACAGCATGTGCAAAGGGTCTGGGCATGAGAATGTGCCTGATATTATGGAGGTAATGAAGGTTTGACTGAATGAGTGAGCTACCAAAGACAGAATGAGGGAGGTGTGGCAGGTTGAATGGTGATTCCAGATATGTATGTCCGTGCCCTAGTTCTCAGAACCTGTCAGTGAGACCTGATTTGGGAAAACAGTGTTTCTAAAAATAATAGTTGGGGCTGGGTGGTACATGCCTGCTATCCTAGCTTCTGGAAGCTAGGATCAGAGCCAGCCTGAGCAGGAAAATCCATGAGACATTCATCTCTAATTAACCCCCACCCCCAAAAGCTGGAAGTGCAGCTGTGGCTCAAATGATAGAGCACTAGTCTAGAGCTCAGGGACAGTGCTCAGGCCCTGAGTTTGAGCCACAGGACTGACCAACACACACAAAAATTAATTGCTGACCATCTTGTGTTGAAGAGATCATCTTGGATCACCCATGCAGCCCATCAGATTCACAATACACGTCCTTAACACAGTAGCTAAACCTAAAGAGGTGGAGGCAATGTGAAGATGGAGGCAGAGACTAGAACAGCCACCAGAAGCTGGAAGAGGCAGAGAAAGGAATCTTCTCTGGAGCAACTGAAGGGAGCTGAGCCTGGTGAATACCTTGCTTTTAAACTCTGACCTTGAACACCAAGGAAAACATTTCTGCAGTTCCATGCTTCTAAGTTCGTGGTAATTGGTACCACAGCTCTAGTAAGAGAATGCTTGAAGGCCATAGAGGCCAGCATTTGGAGAGCTTTGGTGACTTTGTAGCTCACGGGGAAGACTTAGAATCAACAAGCATATAGGAAGCCAGAGAGAAGCTTTAGAAGTAACGTCAACAGCATCCCTCTAGCTCAGCTAGAACTGTCTGCAACATGTGTGGCTCACTAGGATTGATTCAGCTGGTCTGGCTGGTTATACAGGTGTCCCATCCTCCCTGCATACCCTCCCGAAGGTGAGTGCTCAGCAGAAGAGGATAACCACCCCTGATAGAGGAAGATCCCTCTCCCATCAAGGGTACATGAGGCTGTGCTCCCCAGCTGGAACCTCCAAACAAGCCCTTCAGGCTCCCTCTAGCAGCTCAAATCAGCTTCAAACACCATGTGATTTGTTTTCTAAACTAAGGAGGAATGTGAATTTTTAAATGAGCCAAACAAGAATGAAAGAAATCATAAATGAAGAAGACTATAAGGACACACATTTCAAAGCTAGTTCACAGCACAGAGCGCTCGAGGGCAGAGAATCTCCCATCTTTACCATCTGGTGCCTCCTCAAGATTCTCAAAGGGCCCGCAGCCCTGGTGGTGAATCAAGTCCCTCATGAGAACGGCGAAGCTGTAGATGTCTCCCTTTGGGGTGCCTGACCAGGGTGCCATCGAAAGTCGTAACAGCTCTGGGGCCATCCAGTAGAGCTCTGGAAGACAATAGGGCATGTTCATGTGGAGGCAGAGCTGCCGGGCAAAGCTGGAAGCTGAGGTTCAAGAAAAATGGAAAGACCATGTCCCATATTGACAGCTGGAGGGAACAGCCCACCTGTGGCACTGGCACAAGGAAACATCAGAAGCAAAGAAGGGGCAGGAAACCTTTGACCACTCAGCCCCCAGCCAGAGAGGCCAGGATGTCAGAGGTTACCTGAATAGTTGATGGTTTCTTCTTTCAAATTTCTGCATGTGCAGCCATACTTGAGCTCTCCCAGCCCAAATCCTGACAGCCTCACCTGCATGTGGCCATCCACTAGGCAGTTAGAAGGTTTCAGGTTGCCGTGGGAGCCTAGAGGGCTTTGATGAAGGAAGAGCAGGCCCTACAGGATGGAGAGCATGCAAAGCAGAGTAGATATCAATGGGAACAACTCCACCACCTATCCATACCTGCATTTCTTGCCTGCTAGAAATTTCTAGAAGGCCTATAGAGCTTCTATCTCATAGTTCCACATCAGCACACTTGGATGCTTAGCCTACAGGAAGGGAACAAAACAAAGAAGAATACCACAGCCTTTGGAGACCAATTGGCGCAAATCCAAACCTGCCTCTTGCCAGATGAGCAGGGGAGGTCACCCAGCTAAGCCTAATTTCCCCCTATTGCAAATGGAGCCAATATTAATATTATTAATATTTGAGCTTAGATGAATTGATTTCAGAGTTCTGTTATTAGATTACTGCCCCCAAATAAAACACAATGCAAGCTGCATGTATATTTGTTGGTTTCTCAGTACTTACGTTGAGGGGAGGCTTGGGTTGGAGGAATGGGGTAGAATGATGAAAAGGGTAACACGGATCAAGATGCATTGTACTTATAAATTGAATTATTGAGGGGCAACCCCTTTGGACAACTACTGAAAAATAATAAAAACATAATTTAAAAATGCTATTCCCTACACATGGAAAAAAAGGCTTAGTTGATGGAACTAATTTTAATAATATATTTAAGTCAATGGATCTAATTGTTAATTATTTCTACATATAATCAACATTAAAATATTAATGAGATATTGTCTGGTCTTAAGAAAAAAGTAGTCAAAATCCAAGGTGAATTTTATTACTGATAGCATGTTCCATTTGCACTAATGGCATTTTCAAGTCATGAATACAGATTTGGACAGTATAGGCTCAGCCCATAGAATTGTTGGGAGACTACCATAAGAAAATGTACTTGGGCCATGCATGTAATTCCAGTACTTGGGGGGGCTGAGGAAAGAGGATGGAGAATTCAAGGTTAGCAAGGAATAAATATAGTAAGACCCTATCTCAAGAAAAAAAAATGAAAAAGGAATTTACTCTTGTTAACACTTGTTATAGAGTTCTCTTTGATAGACTAGTACTACAGTTGGCGCTAACATTCACATTTGTTAGACATCCATTGTGGGTACGCAATTTGTTAAGTTTTATACCCTCTGAGCCTCTCACAATAATGGTATGAGTTAGCTATTGCTCTCATCTTTAGTTCATCTACAGAGAAAGTGAGTCATGGCTCCATGATGGATAGTATGACCAGTATGTGGCAGAAGCAGGGTTCAATCCCCAAGGTAACTTCTGGACCAAACTATTTATTGTCCTTGGAATCCATCCAGACTTCTCTTACGTAGAAATGAAGGCTCATTTCTAACTCAAAAGACTATTAGACTCTTCAAAACCCTTTCTCAGCTTATCCCACTGAGGTTGAGCTTAGAGATAAGGAATGAGCCATATTCTTCTATGCATTCCATTCCCAGAATCCGGTCTGATTCAAATTAGGTACTTAATTACCTAGTTTGTTAGCCGAAAGAACCTTTAGCATCTTAGAATCTCTGATACCTGGTATAAAGGAGATACTGAAACAGGTATCATATAGACATGAGGAGAATATTGGTTTTGATGGTTGCTGTGACAGCCCAATGTCCTTATCTTTCTGAGAAAGGATATGGGTTAGAATAAACCTTTAACATAGCTAATTAAACTTAATGCAATAATAACAGTGGTCCATGGTTGCCCTTGGAAACCTAATCACAGAAGGTCTCTGTTTGCCTACCTTGCTTAGCAACAAGATGCCAGCTTGCCACTAAAACCTAGGAAATTAAAATCTTACCAGGCCAACAAGACTCGGCACCTTAGAAACGAAATGAAGACCAAGAAAATCTGAGGAAGGAAAGCCCCTTGATGCTAACCAGGCCAGTCCTATTCATTTTTGTAACTACATGAAGGTCTAGAAAGGAGAAAAGATCTGGCAAAGTCCCTCAGTGAGTCAGTCTTCCAGCAAGGAAGAATGGGTTTTATCCTTATACTCTTCACAAGACTCCAGCAGGATCTTCTCCACAGGAGTCTGTTGGTTGATAGGCCCAGATCCTGACAGGTGGTTGGAGGCTTCAATGTCAGCTGATAACTAGGCTAAGGCCTGTGGATCACCAGTCACTCAGAATAGCATCCTCCCTACTCCTGGGTTACTGGCTTCATCTCTCATGATGGTAAACATTTGGTTTGGTTTTGTCTGATGATAAGAGCAAAATTTGATAGACAATCTGGATGCTAATGAGAGCAGCTTCAGGTTACTGGTCCATATTGCTGTGGCTCAGCACATCACATAGACAATCTCAACTCTGTTCCTACTCGTCACATCCCTCATCAGTCGCTGCATGCCTACAATTAGTCATTCTGAGCTTTAGCTCTAGATACTCCCTCTCTGCAAGGCCCCTGCCTTCATGGAAACAAGAAGGAATGGGCCTTGTTCTACTTCTCTTTGAATTGTCCCTGCCAGTCCCTAGCAAGCATCTAATGGTTAGATTGACTCCTTCCTGTCATAAACTACAACAGCAATCTCTGCTGTTGAGCAGCGGTGTAGTTGTTAAGGGTATAAACCTGGAAAACACTTAGGCTCCAGTCACATCTCCACTCATTAGCAGCTATGAAACTTGGGAAAAGTTATATACATTCCTATATCATTTCCCAACTGTACAATGACAGTAAAGATAGATTTTTCTGACATTGGAGGCCTGAATCAGAATGCAGAGTGCCAGCCAATGAACAAAAGCATCAGTTTGAGTCCTGGTCTCAGATAAAAGAAAAAAAAATTCTTTATATTTTCTTGTAAGAATTAAATAAATTAAAAAGAACTAGAAAGTGTCTGCCCCAAAATAGGTATCATAGTATTAGCTATTTTATCATTGTTGTTGTTATTATTATTAATTAGTATTATTACTGCTATGATCATTATCATCTTCTTCTTTGCAGCCATCACCCCCCCTCCCCTGCGCCCATGTAAAGGATTCTGCCAGCTTATATGTTTCTCATATATGCATCTCTAGCTCATTCCTTAGGTCAGCAGCTTTACGGACCTCTATTTTCTGAAGGGTTTAGGGACTTGGGAGAATGGGAAGAGTATTAGGATTCTTGCTCAGCTTGACTTACATCTGATAATTAGATTCTCTTTGGGATAAAAAAGAAAAAATTTCTACCGCTGGATGCTGGTGGCTCATGCCTGTAATCCTAGCTACTCAAGAGGCTGAGACCTGAAGATCATGGTTCAACACCAGCCCAGGCAAGAAAGTCTATGAGACTCTTATCTCTAATAAACTACTCAGAAAAAGGTGGAAGTGGTGCTGGTAGAACATTAGCTTTGAACATAAAGAGACTCAGAGACAGTGCCCAGACCCTGAGTTCAAGCTCCACGGCCAGAAAAAAAAAAATCTACCCTAAAATGTAAATACTCTGTTTATTTCTGCTTGGTTAAGTCTAGCATTCATTCCATCTTTTGTATAATACTTTCTCTCTCCACATTTACCTGTAATTAGAGAACAAAATAATAGAAAATCTGATTGAAGTGCTGATTAGGTTTAAAGCTGGAATCACTTTGTTCAAATAGATTTAAAGGGCTGGGAAGGTGGCTCAGTGGTAGAGCGCTTGCCTTGCATGCCTGAGGCCCTGGGTTCGATTCCTCAGCACCACATAAGCAAAAAGAAAAAAGCTGGAAGTGGCACTGTGGCTCAAGTGGTAGAGTGTTAGCCTTGAGCTGAAGAGCTGAGGGACAGCACCCAGGCCCAGAGTTCAGGCCCCATGACCAGACCCCCCCAAAAAAGAGAGAGATTTAAAGAGAGCCAGAATTACAGGCCGAAATTTTCTTAATAAAGACCCAGAAACACAACAAATCAAAGAAAGGTTGGACAAATGGGATTGTATGAAACCGCAGAGCTTCCACATGGCAAAGGACATAGCTAGCAAGATCAATAGAAAGTCCATGAATTGGGAAAAGATCTTCACTAACCTCTCAATGGACAAAGGCCTCAAATCTACAATATACTTTGAACTCAAAAAATTAAATCCCCCCAAAACAAATCCTCAAAGAAACAACCGCCTGATTAATAAGTGGGCTAAAGACTTAAAGAAAGACTTCTCTGAAGAGGAAATAAGAATGGCCAATAGACACATGAAGAAATGCTCAACCTCTGTAGCCATAAGAGGAATGCAAATCAAAACAACATTAAGATTCCACCTCTCCCCAGTTAGAATGGCTATAATTAAGAAATCTAATAACAACCAATGCTGGAGGGGATGTGGCCAAAAGGGAATCCTACTGAATTGTTGGTGGGAATGTAAACTTGTTGAAGCACTTTGGAAAGCAGCATGAATGTTCCTCAAAAGACTCCACATAGAGCTCCCCTATGACCCAGCAATCCCACTTGGGGGCATTTACCCAAATGATCACAAACAAGGCCATATTAAAGCTACCAGCACAACTATCACAGCATTATTTATCACAGCATTATTCACCATAGCTAAGATATGGAGCCAACCCAGATATCCCTCAATAGATAAATGGATCAAAAAATTTTGGTATACACACACACACACACACACACTCACACACACAATGGAATTCTATGCCTCTATCAGAAAGAATGACACTACCTCATTTGTTAAGAAATGGAAAGACTTGGAAAAAATTAAGTGAAGTAACCTAGGCCCAAAGAAACATAGGTCCCATAGTTTTCCTTATTTGCAATAATTAGTATATGTCTAGGACAAGCAGAAAAGGTCAAAAGCTATGTACCTATGACCATATAAGATGATGCTAAGCAAAATGAACCCCAAGACACGGACACAAAAGGTTTTATATTTGTTGCTGTTGTTTTTAATGTACTTACAATGTACTATGTGATTTTTTGTTTGTTTTGTATGTTCTTCCCCCATTGTAAAACCTCTGTTTTGACTGTATTGATTCCAGTGCCTTGCATCTTATATGTACATTTTTCTAAATTGGGGAGGGGAGGGAAATAACAAAATGCTGAAACAAGGTTGACCCATTGTAACAATGAGATGTACAAGACACTATGTTGTAAACAAACTTCACAACTTCAGGGTGGGGGACAGGGAAGGAGGAGTTAGGGAGGTGGGGAGGGAAGGGATGGTAGGGGGAAAAACAAAGGAGGGGGTAACAATGTTTGATAGGAAATGTACTCATTACCTTGTTCATGTAACTGTAACCCCTCTGTACAGTATCTTTACAATAAAAATATATATTAAAAAATAGAAAAAAGAGGGCCAGAATTTTGAACAAAGATGTCAGTTCAATCTAATCCAAGACAACTCCAAATAACTACAGTATTGTTTCTTTAAATAAGTTTATGTTATACTCACATTGACTATGTCATATGCAAATGAAAGTTTGAATATCCAATCCATTTCATGATCTGAGTTTCTCAATATATCCTAGAAAAATAAGGTCAATCAAAGTGTCACCAGGGACTCAAGCTGAAGCATGCTTTGATCAGAGTTGTCCCTAATGGATCTGGTTTCTTCAGCCAGAATGGATACAAAGAGGGGCAGAGCACATAAATCTAAAGAAATTTTCCTTGGAGATACCCTAACTAGACTCCACAGAAAGGACAATGGCTTGAGTTGTACAAGCTCCTCCTTGTTACTGACACAATGCTGATGGTCCCCTACTAAAGGAATGGATAGGCCCTGGTGCCCACGTCAGAAGCAGCCATGTCATCATATGAAAAGAAACCAAGTTCGTCCCAGGTCCCATTTCTACCCGCACAAAGAAAAGGAAGCACTAGGTGGCTGCACTGCTAATCTGAATCCCAGCAGGCAGCCCATTAAGATAATTCAGGTTTTGCAATTCCACCAAAGAGGAACTGTCCTTGGGGAAACAGGAAAAAGCACTGAAAAGCTTCTTTATTAGCTATCACTAAACAAACCCAAAGTAAAACTTAATATTTTGCTTACCTTAAGACTTCCCTTTTTGCAATACTGGGTGACAATACAGATATTCGGGGCTTCTGTGCAAATGCCAAAGAAGGGCACAATGTTTTCATGCTTTAATCCCCATATCTACGAGTGACAGAATGATAAAGAACAGGTTCAGAGTGTGATTCCCTTCAGTTATTCATAGAGAGAGGCCTGGGAAAGGAGAACTGTTTGCATGTTATAGAAAAAGAGAATCAATGGCTAAATGTGAAATTGAATGTTGAAGATGATACGACTCATAAATGGCAGAGCTGGGAAGTAAATGCTGGGAATCTGACTCCAGGAAATAAACCAGAATCATCAAAATCTAACCGCAGCCATAAGGATTACCTGAAATAGATCACACTAAGCAGGTCCATCCCTGCTTCCTTACTTGGGACAGTCAATACTAGTGTATAGGTTACTATAGGTTACTGGCAGAGGACAAGAAGTTGGAGCTATTCCCAATTCCAGGTTCAAGGTAGTAGGTAAACAGACAACAAAGACAGAGAGGAACACAGGCCAGAGTAAAGGCCAGTAAAAATTATGAAAGAAAAATTAGAGGTAGGAGAAATCCAGGCTTTAGATAGTTGCTTTAGGCCAAGGGTTTGGAATCTGAAGCCTGGGCAGTTGGGGGTCAGGGATGAAAGATCATGTGAAAAAAATCAGCCTCCACCATGCCTCTTTGTCACGGATGCCACCCCTCATGGGTGGGGTGGAGAGCTGGCAGAGAAGGGGCAGAGAGCAGCCTCACCAGCCGGACTTCCTGCAGCACAGTTGGCTTCCTCATGCAAGCTTCTGCATGGTCCCCAACATGGCGGATGGCTACGTAGTATCCCTGAAATCACAGACACAGAACAAAATGTCCTCAATGCAGAGTGATGTAGAAACAGCACTTGGAAAGAGTAAGAAAGGGGAGCAGGAAGACAGACAAGAAAGCCACCTATAGGAGAGATCATCCAGTTCCACACCAGTTAGCCCCACTGCGTTGGCATTGTGCTATGTCCAGGCACTAAGCCAGGCACTAAGCCACAGAAAGACCTCATTGAACTGACCTGCAGCCCTGCCAAGTGGGTGTGATTTTTTCCATTCAAAATGGGATCACCTAATATCTAACTTGAATATCTTAACTCTAAGACCATACTTTTAGGATATTATGCAGTAATGTCCTATTATCATGCAGAGGAACACAGTAAATTGGGATTACAAGTCTAGACGGATGTCTAGATCAAAATCTAGTGTTGCCACTGGAATAAGCTTCCTCAAACACTCATTTCTTCACCTGCAAAACAAGGATTACAAGAATAGCATTATCACTGAATTACCACAGGATTAAGTCAATTAAAATACTAACTTAACTGGCCAGGTACTGGTGGCTCATGCCTGTAATCCTAACTACTCAGGAGGCTGAGGTTCAAAGCTAGCTTGGGCAAGAAAAGCCTCTGAGACTTTTATCTCCAATTAACCACAAAAAGGCAGAAACCATTAACCTTGAGAAAAAGAGCTCAGGGACAACTCTCACGCTCCCATTTCACACACACACACACACACACACACACACACACACAAAACCACTGTTAACTCAATGCCTAGCACAGGCTTTCAGTGTATGGCAGATCTGCTTTTGGAGTCATTCAATCAATCATTACCAAAACCATGGAAGAAGAGTTGGCTAGAAGAAGGGATGGAGTCTAAGATGAGAGAGATGACAAACCTCTGTATGAATTAAACATCAACCCGGGTCTATTTCTATATGGAAGTAAATGCAGAATACTGAAGACTACGATGGGGTTTCCACCCAGCAAGGAATGGCTTTGGGATCAAGGAAAGCACTCACAGAGGGGTGCTATGCTAAACTCTGAAGAATAAGCAGGTTCTAGATGGGCAAGAAAGGCAGAATGAGCATAGCATTGTAAGAAGGTAAAGCATGCATGTCAAAACTCAGCAGGATCAATGATATCCACATTGGATTTGGATCAAAAATGTCTTAAAGTAGAATGGAGCCAAATACTCAAAGTTACTTATTAGAGACTTTGAACATGAACATAAATGCAACAGGGATGTAAAATCCCATCATGAGATTTGAGAGAGGGGCAAGGAGACATATTGTATGGAGATTCATCAGGCAGAGTATATGGTATAGATTCGTGGCTTCCTGCTCTAAATGACTAGATGACTGGGATACTTAGTTCTTCATGAAACATAGTCTCTAGAGTATTTGGTAAAATCTCAAGTTTTTTATACTTCAAGACCTCAAGTAGGTAAGACATTTGGAAAGATCAGTTGAATAGGGAATAAATTGTCAAATCATCTCGAATAATCTTCCTTTATCTTTTCATCCATCTTAACTCAACCTTAACCATAAGCAACTCCTAACCTCAGAGCAAACAATACTTTTGTTGGGTGCTTTCTGCCTTCATTCCGGAGATCCTGAGACTTCCAATGAAAACAATAAATGCAAGGGTGTTTTTCTTTTTCTTTCATGTAATTTTTTTCCCTATGGAACTTTCTACAGGCTTGCTAAGTATAGCTACCTACATGGCCTGGGTGTGAAGACAGAGTGACAAAGGATGCGTGTGAATGATGAGCAAGGTTTAGCCACTTCTATCATTTATACCATAGAAACATCCGTTTCCACTATTGAAGTACCAGGATGAAATCACCCAGTCTAGGATTTCGGATCCATTAGAGTAGCCCCGTTGAGGCTATTAAACATAAGTGAATCAAAATGAAAGAAAACTTTAAAAAAATTCAGTGTCCTACTCCCAATAATGTTCAATAATCATAGGATGCTAGTGGCTTCCATATTAGTGCAAAGCTAGAATATTTCTGTCATCATAGAAAGTTTGATAGGGCTGAGCTGAGTCTAATTGAGAAGCCAGCATAGAAATTACCTGGGAGATGATCTCTAGAAATGCATAATCTTTGGGCTCTATTCTAAGCTAGACCTACCATCTAGAATAGGCTTGTTTTACACACTAAAATGTTGACACATAATATGTACACACATTTATCTGCATTTATACCAAGAGTCATGTGTAATTTTTTCTGTGTCTTGCAGTTTGAGAAGCACAAAACCACGATGGCTTCTACTTCAAGAATGTCTTTCTAGTCAGAATAGCTTACTTGACCAAAACTTCACGGGGAGAAGAATCAGAAATATACACTCATTCCTCCATGCAGCCACATGGCATAGAAATACCTGGTAAAGTCCTACTGGAGCATAAAAAAGTTCTTCTTCCTGCTGGCTCTTATAGGAGCTACAGTCAGTAGGAAGCATCACAGGATGTGTGCTGCGCACACCCACTCTCATCACAGGCGTACCTCTCTGGGAAAACTGAAACACAAGACACAATTGGTTTCTCTTAGCAGCATAGTACAGTACCAAAGGGACTGGGTAACTTTAGATGAAGGTGAATTCCAACCTGACATAGTAAAGCATGTAGGAGACTCAAGATTTGCCTACATGATTCCTTCTTGGTAACTGTACCACCATGGATGGCCTAGGCTATGAGTATAGGCTTTTGCGGTCAGGTTACTTATACTCAGGTTCTAACTGTGTCAATTAACTGGACATGGGGAGCATATTAAGTTACCTAAGAGAATCTGTGTTCCCTCCATATTTAATACCCCAGTGCCTCTCCCACATGTAGAGAATACCTTTCCAAGAACAAGAGCTCTGTTTCTCAAGGAGAATCTATTGGACAAATCAGAACAGTACTCCTTTACTTGAGGAGTGAAGAGAAAGGCTCAAATCCCCAGAGACATTTGGGAGAGACTTACTAATCAACCCAAATCTCTTGCTCTTGGTACATTGAAGGTTCTTAGGCCTAGTACCAGCCCAGCTCCAGAACATGCTATGTGACTTCTCCCTTTCTCTCCTCTCTGAAGCCTTTAAGATAACAATTTTTTAAGTCTTTCTATCTAAAGAACTTACCCCAGAGACAAAACACATGCCTTCCTCTGAAGACATCTCATTTGTGGCTATTCCCACGTGTTGTACTGTGCTTGGTAGATGCTCATTCCGTGTTATAAAATGGACTTTTGGGAACTCACCCTCAAAAAGTGAATGTGTCAAGTCTAGTGCTCTTTTCTGCTAAGACTATATGTGGATTTGAGGGCTTAGTGGCATAAACCTCCTGTCACTGAAGTTAAACTCAGGGTTGGCATTAGCCAATTTATGTATGTATGGCCTATTTTTCATATTTGTATATGATTTTCTAAAAGTCACCTAATTACCAGTGATACCAAAAGCAAATGAGTATGTGGCATCATTAAAACTTTGTTAATATTCTATCACTATCATTTTTAACTAATTAATGATATCTGTGATAATGCCATTGTATTTGTGTTCCTTAGAGTACACACAAGAATATGTGTACAGAGAGATTGTATTTAATCTTTTTTTTTTTTTTTTGGTCGGTCGTGGGGCCTGAACTCTGGGCCTGGGCGCTATCCCTCAGCTCTTCAGCTCAAGGCTAACGCTCTACAACTTGAGCCACAGTACCACTTCCGGCTTTTTTCTGCTTATGTGGTGCTGAGGAATCGAACCCAGGGCCTCATGCATGCAAGGCAAGCACTCTACCACTGAGCTACCTTCCCAGCCCTGTATTTAATCTTGAATAAACTTTCATTAAAACTACTTTGCTTATTTTTTTTTAAGTGAATGTGGTAGCCAGGTGTTGGTGGATCCTACCTGCCTATAATCCTAGCTATTCAGGTGGCTAAGTTTTGAGATCGTAACAAAGCTAGACTGGGCAGCAAGTCCATGAGACTCTCATCTCTGATTAACTATTAAAAAGCCAGAAATGTGGCTCAGTGTGGTACAGCACTAGCCTTGAGCACAAAAGCTCAGGGACAGTATCCAGGCCCTGAGTTCAAACCCCAGGACTGGCACCAAAAAAAAGTGAATGTGTTTATTTGTTTTTAGACAGGCTATATAGCTCAAGCTGGTTTTGAAGTCCCCTTATCCTCCTGTTTCAAGCTCTTGAGCACCAAGAATACAGCAATGCACCACCACTTCCTGAATGTGGTTTTGAAAAGAACTAAATATTCCCCATGAATGACTTTAATATTTGAATAGGCCATATCGTGCTTCTACTCATGAGTAATAGAGTTTAAGGACTCAGAGACTACTAATCATTTTTAAATTGAAAATGAGTCTGGGAAGGCAAAATGTTATTTTCAGAGATATTCAGCCAGGAAATGGAAGGCAAAGAACCAGAATGCAGGTCTTGTGCTCCTTCATTAAGTGCTCCCTTTCTCAGTGAGTCAGCTCTAATGAGCTCAATGATCTCCTCGGAAAGGCCTCTTCCACAAGTCTCCAGCAATGACCCAGAAGAGAGGTATCTGAGTCATGTATAGACTTACCTTGTTCTGGGGAATAGTAGTGATAGTGTCATAGTTGATTTGCCACCAGCTGTCTTTACAATCGTTTTGTAATTTTTCCCTGTGCATCCTTAAAACCAGACCTATGATGGCAGCTCCCAAGACAACGATGAAGAGTGTCATTGTGGAAATCACAGCAGTCGTGCCTGGAGGGAAGCAAGTCTTTACTTAGGCATGAGTAAAAGCAGAGGTGAGCACATCGCTGATCCAACAAGATCTTTCCAAGCAAGAACCTAAAAAGCCACCCAGGTTATTATCTAGGCTCAAATACACTGAATCCATTCAGATAATTTCTTCCAGCAATATTTCTCTGACTACGTCTCTGCTTCTCTTGGCAGCCATGCTCACTTCCTCCTTCATATAGAAACATACCTTGTTGGATATAATTGTGATGTCAAACGCCAGTGCCTTGTTTTGTTATACATGTATGTTCTTGGTACAGTTGCTTTCTAAGCACCTTCTAATTCTAGGGTGAGGCTCCTTAACCACTTTTGCCCAAGCTCCCCTAGACTCCCTAGGAAGGAAGTCCTTTAAAAACAAAAATATTTGTGCACTATTATTGGGAGTGTAAATTAATGCAGCCACTAATGGAAAGCAGTAAGGAGGCCCCTCAGGAAACTGAAAAAATAGAATTACCCTATGTTCCAGTTAGACCACTCCTAGGCATATATCTATAAGAAGCATTTAATAGAAATAGTCAGCATTTAATAGCAATCCTGCATGTTCAGGTTCATAGCAGTACTGTTTACAATAGCCAAATATAGAATCAGTCCAAGTGCCCATCAACCAATAAACAGACCAAGAAAATGAGGTATACCTCATGGATACACACTCAATAGAGTCCTTGGCCATAAAGAATGAAATAATATTGTTTTTAGGAAAATGGATGGAACTGAAGATCACCAAGTTAAATCAGACTGAGAAAGACAAATAGCACATGTTCTCTGTCATATATGGAATCTAGACCTTAAAAATAAAAAAAGAATGGTAGGACTGTTTGGTAATTGGGAGTCAGAGGGAGGGGAAGAGTAGAGGTGTGAATATGATCAAAGCAACCTATCAAGGAAGATAAATAAGGAAACCAGTCAAAATTGCTCAAGAGGGGGGAAAAGGTAAATATGAAAGACGTGTGGAAATATCACAATACAACTTGTTTGTATAAATCATAACACTAATGAAAAGGTAAATATGAAAAATAAAATCCTATTTTAGGAACCACAAACCAAACAGAGGTGCAATGGTTCATGCCTATAATCCTTTCTACTCTAGAGGCTGAGATCTGGCAATCACCAGATCAATGCAGGCCCAGGAAGATTAAATCTAAGAAACTCTTACCTCAACTTAACCTTAACTAGCAAAAATACAAATAAACAAACAAAAACACCCATAAGTAGAGGTGTAGCTCAAGTGGTAGAGTGACAGTCTTGAGCAAGAAAGCTAAGCAAAAATCGAATGCCTTAAGTTCAAGCTCCAGCATTGGCATTAAAAATATGGGAATCCTTGAGAATTGAATCTCAAAAGACAGGGCCAGATTTCCCTAGAGCAGGAGTTTTTCAATGGAAGATTGTTCTTCCCAAGGAGATAGTTGAATTTTGTTTTGAGAAAAATGCCCCTTGATTTACTGAATTTCAAGTCCTACCTGTGATAGACTTGTCAGGGTCAGACCAAATGATTGGTGTGGCTCCCCACTCCGAACAACTAGAGAGGATGCTGAATACCCTATTAAAGCAAAGCACCACACCTGCCCCACCAAGATTTTCTGGGCTAAAACATCAAAAGAAATGTTCTACAGAGACACAACACTACTTCTCCCAAGCAGCTATACTTACCAGTTAAAGTAGGCTTCCTTTTGCAGAGCTCATTATAAATTCCACAGCTTGGTCTGCCCGTGGGACGGAAAGTATGGAGCCAAGTCATATTGGAGAAATACCTCAAAGGTCTGTTAAAAGAGAAAAGAAGAAGGCCAGCATTTACTCCATTTATTCCATCTGTTTCTACCTTGTGTACCATAGTGGCAACTAAAATATGGGTGCTAGTTGCAAAAACTAGGCTTTAGTCTCTTAGTTCAAAACTCTGCTGACCTATTTAATGCTCCCAACCCTCTTGACTCATCAGATCTACTCTGGTAATCTCATTCGTGAGAAGCAATATATGTTTTTGTTGGGTAGAATAGCTGCCGGAATCTTTTGATTGAAACCATGTCTCTTTTGATTTAAAAGATGATGTGACAATTTCCTAGTGTTGCTGAGATTTCCATCTGTGTTTGATACAGACAAGTCATAGTGTATAACAACCTTGACATTTCACAGACCAAAACATCATCCCTTACATGGATATGCCTGCTTCTATGATCTTGAGGATAGGGTTACCATAGTTATTTTCCTTACCTGGCTGTCTCATTGTAGTGATCACCATTCCCAAAGTAAGAAGGGAAAAGTCTCAATGGAAATTGGGAGGTTGGGAATTGGGTCTAAATAGAAATTAATTTACAAGCTATACTTCCTTTTTTTCATTGATTTGTAGCTTTTCCTTAGTGAGTCCTGGGTGCTTAGGATAACACTGTGGTTCTGATGGACACACATCTCTGGGTAGGTCTTCATAACTTCAGAAAACACGAGAATACATGGTGAGGGAATTCTAAGAACTAGATCCCAACTCAACTTCCCAGTAGGAGTCCTGATCTTTATCTTCTTCCCTGGGCTCTGGCAGTATTTTTATGAACAGCATGTACAGAAATGTCTTGCAGTACCTGATCACTTTCTGATTGCTGTCATAATGAAGAAAAGGAAGAAAAAGGCTCCCATTTCCAGATTTCTCTAAAGTGTAGACAGAATAATGACTGTGCCTTTCCCCCTGGGAGTCCACAAACACAGGACCAGTAATTCCTGGAAAGAGAGAAGGTTGCATAAGGTACAGGACAGAGGGGCACCTGGAGCTCAAAGCAGCAGTATGATGTAACTGAGCTCAGCAAGTCCCTTCCCCAGGGAACACCAGGTGCAAAATGGTTCTGTTTCAAGAAATCTGACTCAACAGTAAGATGCAGAAACAGCATCCTGGTAGAGACAAAATACCAACTATACAGGCAGATGTGGTGTGATGGGAAGGGCCATTGAGAATTTTTAAAAAATTTTGTAGGGCCGGGAAGGTGGCTCAGTGGTAAAGCGTTTGCCTTGCATGCTCGAGGCCCTGGGTTCGATTCCTCAGCACCAAATAAGCAAAAACGAAAAAACTGGAAGTGGTGCTGTGGCTCAGGTGGTAGAGCACTAGCCTTGAGCTGAAGAGCTGAGGGACAGTGCCCAGGCCCAGAGTTCAGGCCCCACAACCAGACCAAAAAAAAAATTTTTTTTGTAGTGAAACCAGGTAAACTGAGGAATTGGGTAGGGTTGGGAGAAATGGGGCAGAATGATGAAAGGGTTGACATTGATCAAAAGGCATTGTATTCATAAACTGGCATGTTGAATTGAAACTCATTCATACAACTACTCAAAGACAATTTTAAAAACACTAAATTAAAAAAACAATATTTGAAAACATTTTTTTGTCAGTTGTGGGGCTTGAACGCTGGGCCTGGGCACTGTCCCCTGAGCGCTTCGGCTCAAGGTAAGCACTCTACCACTTGAGCCACAGCACCACTTCCGATTTTCTGGTGGTTAATTAGAGATAGTCTCCTGAACTTTCCTGCCTGGGCTGACTTCAAACCGTGATCCTCAGATCTCAGCCTCCTGTTGCTAGGATTACAGTGTGAGTCACCAGCGCCCAGCATAAAAAATTTTTTTTAATTAAAAATGGTTAAGCAATTTCCAAATAATTTCACATAAAACCTCCGACTTACCCTTGCCAGCAACAGTCAGAACCAACACAGGATGTTGAGTGCCTACACAATAGTAATTGTCCGGAGCTACCTCCTTCAGTCCCTGCCATCTTCTTGGCACATAGCTTAAGGCCTTCTTGGCCTTATTTCCTGTACTTCCCAACACACCGCATTGTCTTAGTGCACAAAGAGGCAAGTCTCGTGTTCTCTGCCATTAGGAAGCAGTAGTGGGTGAGACTTTGCAGGGAAAGAAGACAAGGTACCCCAGAGGCCTCCTCTACCTGTGGCCTGAGAAACTGGATGGCTTTAGCCTCAGTCACTCTTATGAAAGATCAGATCTTCATGAGAAAGATGAAATACGCAGCAGAGAGAGACAGGCCTAGTAGGGACCCATCAGTCATGTCAGAGCCCACAGGACTGTGCCAGACTGGGACCAGAAAAACTCTTACCCTGCAGTGCTGTCAGATTGGCTTTCAGAGTGTTGACCAGCTGCCGCGCATCCCGGAAGTCTCTCCCGACCTTTACCATCTCCTCCACAGTCTGAGCATAGAGCAGGAGGGCGTCGTGGAGGTAGGCAGAGTAAGGGCTCACCTTCAACAAGAGCATATGCAGTGAGCCCAGCACCAGTAGTCCTAGCTACTCAAAAGGCTGAGATCTGAGGATCATGGTTTTAAGCCAGCCTGAACAGAAAAGTTGGTGTGACTCTTATCTCCAATAACTACAAAGGCCAGAGCGCTTAAGCACAGAAAGCTCAGGGACAGTACCTAAGCCCAGAGTTCAAGCTCCAGGAGCAGCAGAAAAACAAAGAGCAAACACAGTATACAGAAGCCCATGGCCTCCATTGCTCAGCTGGAAGAGCCTGTCTCGATCCTTTGGGAAGTAGAACACCACACATTCTTCACGCAGTCCACTGAGAGGCCCTACTATCAAATCCAGCCTTCACAGCCTTTACCTTCCTCAGAATTAGACCCTGACCATAGACAAAATCAGCTTCGCAGGCCCTAGGTGGGAGGAAGCTAAGGGAGATACTGGAGTCAGGCTGGTTCTGCTGCTTTCCAGCTGTGAGAGAGACCTGAAGTAAGTTCTGTAACTTCTCCAAATCTCAGCTTATTGTTTATAACATATGGATCACACCACAGTTATGAAGCAGGAGCAGAGTAGGTAAACTCATATAATTCCTATGTCCCATAGTAGGCCTTCAATAGCTGTTCTCATTTTTCATTTTTGGTTGAGTCAATTGCCAGTGCAGGAGCCTTCTTCTGTGGCAGCTGGTCACAGCCATGAGAACGGCTCCTCATGTTTTCAGGAATCCACCCTCAATGCACTCCCTCATTCTTAATCTAGTCCCTTAGTATCAATGAGCAGTCCTGACCTTGGGTTCAGCTCTAGCTCCAGCCAGTGTCCTCTCTGTGGGAACTTTTTGCCAATCCTTCACACGTTGCAGATTCGACTTGCTGATATACTCTCCCCTGATAGATTTCCCCCTACCCCAGTCCCTCTGCTTGACTTAGCTGTCCTAGCTCCACACCACCTATTACTCCATCCTGCTCCTCAATCCTGCCATCTTTCTGGCAAAGGAAATTGGCACCGTGTGAATAGCCATTGTTATTCCTCCTGCTATATCCACATGGTGTGGTATTAGACGCTCATGACCACAGCTGGAAGACAGATACCATCAGTAGTCCCGTTTTATAAATGAAGAGACTGAGGAATAGGGAGGCTAAGCAGTTAACTCCAGGATCCCACTGTTAGTAAACAGAAGTAGGATAAGAACCCAGCTCTGTGACCCCAAAAGCCAGTGACCTGTTATCCTGTAACCTCTGGCCCACTTAGTAATGTTTAGGATACAGATTTCACAAGACAGCCTGAAACCACTGCTTGTTTGCGGAGCTGGAAAAGTGTGTGTGTGTGTGTGTAAAGGGAGTAGGGAAAGAAGGGCAAACAAAAGGGAGAAATGCAAAAGCTAAACACAAATAGGATCAAAGAACGGAGGTAGGCCCTGTGCAGAGGTCCTGTCCGACCTGACCTGTTCCTCAGAGGAGATGGAACTTTGGAAGGGCGGTCTCCTCAGCCTTTCATAGACTTGTTTCCGGAAGCCAAAGCTGTCTTCTCCAGGGCCTTCTCCATAGGAGCTGAGGGTGATGACAAGCAGTGACTCATAGACTTTTGGGATATGTGTCACCTTCTGATTTGTCATCAATCCTTCCCAAAATCTGTCCTAAAAAGTGATAAAACAAATGTCACTATTCCATAGGAAATGACCCCCACAGCCAGAATTGTGTTTCAGACAGTGTTGTATTTGAATCGCTATAATCTAACCCTCAGAAAGGATTCTAGAAGGCCTGCACAAACAAGGGCCATATTTTTAGCACCCACATCCACAGTGGCAACAGAGCCATAGAATAAATGAAAACTTTAAACATATTAGTGGCATCAAGCAACTGAGAGGCCACAAGCTTACCTAGTAGTAATGAGTGTTCAAGTTTGTAGATTCTGCTTATGTATATTGTATATTATATATGTATATATATAGTATATTCTTTTTTGTTGGCATCATTATCTATGTTGCTACTATTATGAAGAGTGTAAGCCCACTCATTTATTGTGCATGTCCCAATTCCTAAATTATTCCCTTTCATCTTACTGGGAGGTATTCAATCAATATAAGCATTTACAGAGGCGTGTGTGTGTGTGAGAGAGAGAAAGAGAGAGAGAGAGAGAGACTATGGGACTATATGTGTTTTATGTAACCACTATCACACTATACTACTACTACAGCATGACTTTCTTCCACTTAAAACTTACACTGGAAACACTTTCATTCTCACGGTACTGAAAAGTTTATTGTAGAATAAGGAATATCACAAAGAATATTTTAATTCTACATTTGTACACACTATTGTTTTCCACTTCCTTAACAGGATCCAACTGTGCCATCTGCTCACACTGTTCTACTGTGCCATTGACTTTCCTCTTCCTCTCCAAGAAGGCAGACTTCTGTGGTACCCTAATATATGCATGATAATCAGAAGGCTGATTATTCCAAGAAATATTTGTTATTCCTATTTTTTACCTGCTGAACATATTCTAAAAAAGCAGAGCAGACTCAAATTCCAAACTGATTCAAAGGATTCCTATTGCCTATAATTGTTTTATTTAATTTTTATTGTAAAGGTGATATACAGAGGGGTTACAGTTACCTAAGTCAGGTAGTTTCAGAAAGGATTTATGCATTCTTTTGAAAAGCAGAATAAATTTAATTGCATGGATATTGTATAGTGTAGTTTTACCTCTATATACTTTCTTCCACTACAAATCAATGGAAATTGATTAGTAAGGTTTTGAGAGGAAGTGGTAAGGATATGTGGGTATTGTTGGAGGACTTCCTCATGCAAACTGACTCATCCCATCTGTCCATCCTTGCCTCTCTAAAGGCGGACGCAAATAGAACGACAAAGAGAAGCAAAGTGAGTAATAATAAAAAGGGAATGCAGGAAGATCCTCTGGAAAGTCTGACAAACATTTAAAATTTTAGCTGCCCTCTGAAGAAATCTGTGACACTTCCAGATAAACACTTCCTGAGCTGAGTGTTGGTGACTCACATCTGTAATCCTAGCTACTCAGGAGGCTGAGATCTTCTAAGGATAGAAGTTTGAAGCCAGGAAGAGAAAGTCCATAATACTCTCATCTTCAATGAATTTTCAAAAAACCAGAAGTGGAGTTGTGGCTCAAGTGGCAAAGTGTTGGCCTTGAGCTAAAAAGCTTAGTGGCAATTCCAGAGCTCTAGGTTCAAGATTCAGAACTGGCACGCACGTGCGCGCGCGCACACACACACACACACACACACACATCCTGATAAGGAAAGAAATCTGGGATGTTTTTATATATCTTCCTCTACTCTCTTTTGCCCCATTTCAACTTCTTATGATGATCTAAAACAAGTTCATTGTAGAAAGTTAAAGCTACTGGAAAATTATACTGTGGAGACATTACTCCCACAGGCAGGAAGATGTTCTTATGGGCACTGACACTGAAGCCAGCCCAGCTGGGTTGGAATAATCTCTCCGTACTAGTTTGTATGGCCATGGGCAAGCTATTTTACCCTTCTGGGTTCAGTTTCATTTTCTATAAATGAGACTAAGAGCTTGTGGTGGTTTTGAGGCCTGGCACCTCATAAGCATTCTCTGCTGTGGGGCTATGTGTAGTAGGGACAAGCAATCCAGTTGGAAACATCACCCGGGTATCCTAGAGTATAGCACCTTGCTTATCTTGGCCTTGGTTTCTCTGCCTATAAGTTGGAATATTGATCATACCTGCCTTCCAAGGCAGTTGGAATGATGAAGTATAATGATACATGTAATATCTGCCTCACACAGCCATTGGCAATATCAAGTGCAGCAATATATGTGAAATGTGTAACTCTGTTCTTGGGGGAAGTACATAGTGCTTTAGCCACTTCCATCATTGCTAGAGAACCATAATTTTGGACCAGTGTATTAAGACCCACCTCTAGCTGCTGCAAAACGATAAAGACAAATTCTCCAGTGTTGAGCCCCAAATTCTCTGCAGCCAACAGAATAACCTTTGCATCTTCTGAGCTGCAGATTAAGATGATAACTAGAAGAAGGGAGAACAGAGTCAGACTTCCACTTGTTTGTGTCTCTGTCTCCCCTCTCCTTTTCTGTCCCTCTCTCCTCAATGCCCCTCCCTCTCATTCTCCCTTTCTTCCTCTTCTACTCCTTTCTTCCCTTCCATTCCCATGCCTCTTTCTTCCACTCGCCACCCCCAAGTATAGTCTAAAGCCAGTCCGTATAAACCATGAACTTCTCTTTTTTTCCCCCTTAAAATGCTTAGGAAAGAGAAAGGCCTAAACTCTCTCTAAGAGTATATGTCTTGAACTGAGCCTGGCAGATTTCACCCTGATACAGTCCCGTCCCCTCCCCTCCCATTAAAGTCCCCAAGTCCAAAAAGTTTGAGATCATTTCTGTGCCTCAGTCTCTTTCCTTTAATGGACAAAATCATTAGAAGAACAGACATGGCAGGTGACTCCTTAGTCACACCTCAGTTAGGAGGAGCTAGGATCAAGGGCATTTTGACCTTCTGAATAGAGATGGGAAGAAGTAAACCCAGTACTTCTGTTCTCACATCATCATTCATGGTACGAACACATAGATGAAGCGATGGTCTGCTTTCTAAATTAGGTATATTACATAATATGCTTATCTATCTGTCAAGCACTGCACTAGATACTAGAGACAGCCTCAAACTAAAGGACGCCAGTGCTCAGGGAGTCACTGTCAGGCCGACAGTGTATGAGAAGAAATGGCACTCCTGAGTGAGGATCTGGCAAAATCCTAAAGTTTATCTGAAGAAAGGAGAGGAGTCAGGTGACTGATCTAGTAAGAAAAGAGACCTCTAGGCAGCAGCATAAAACAATTATTGGATGTTGATCAACTACCCACCCCAATGTAGTGCTAAACACTAGGTGATCTGACTTAGTCCTTAAGATGGTTGCCTCCATTTTACAGATATCTAAATCACGGAGAAGTTAGGGATCTTGCCCAGGAGAACACAGGTAGAAAGTACGAAGGCGAGAATCAATAAATGCATGTATCTCCACTGCCTACCCTCTAAACAACTTCCAAAATCTGGGACCTGGAATGCTTAGCATATTATTGCTTAACATTATTTTAGAACTTACTTTATGCATCATGACTTCTAAAATTTTACTTCAGATGAAAAAAGATAAAACATAAGTGACCATTACGGAAAGAAGGAAATTGCCTCTATGTGTCAACTCTGTACCTCATTTTCTTCTGATTTCCAAACTCATAGAAAAATGAAGAGTTCTTAGTTGTTTCCAAACAATCTCCAAATACAAGCAAAGGATGATCTTGCCTGCTCACCTCTGGTGACTGATGTTATGCTCCTGAGATCTTCCTGCAGAAGGACTGGGTCCCTGATGGTGTATCTCATGCTGGCCATGATGGTGAAATTAGGTTGAAGTTTATTCTCCACAACCCTCCATAACTCATCCACTCCATCCCAGGATGGAGCCCCAGAGTAGCCTCCAAACAGGCCAATGTGTTCCCAGCCCAGGTATGAGAGACTTTTCTGCAGCACATCACCAATTTCTTGGATGGATGGTACAAGTGTCACACAGGTGTCGTACAAGAGGTGGTTTTCCACTATTGCCATTTGTCCAACAAAGTCAAATACGGGGATGTTCCACTCAGAGGCCAACAAACCAATAACCTTAAAGTAACCAAAAGAATATCTTTCTATGATAGAGTTTATGCCACATTCAAACCTCAGAATCAAATGTCTACATGAATTTTGAATTCAGTAAACCTTACACTAGATCCTCTCCTTTGGAATATTGATAAGAATGATTTGGATCCAATTTGCAGAAACAAAACTTTGGAAGACAAGGTTAACAAGTGAAATCTTTTACTATGTGCTTATGAATCACTCAACTAAGACCCTGTATATGTCAGATATTATCATTGTACCCATTATAAAGACAAAAATATGGAGATATAAGTAATACATCTAACAAATAATGGAGCAGAATCACAACATAAGATACAGGGCTCCAAGGCCCACACTTTAAGCTATTCACTCCTCTTTCCTTTCTGAACTTGTACTTGGCTCATTTCTTATGGGTTGATCATTAAGAGCTTATAATTCATGAAGAACTTTGAAGAACTTGACATTAAAGGAGCTTACAGTCTAATATATGAGCTAAGATATATAAAAATAGACCTGTGTCAGATGCTGGTGGCTCACGGCTGTAATCCTGGCTACTTAGGAGACTAAAATCTGAGGATCATGGTTCAAAGCTGGTCTGGGCAGAAAAGTCTAAAAGACTGTTATCTTTAATTAACTAGCAAAACATCTAGAAGTGGAGCTGTGGTTTGTGTTGGAGAACATTATCCTTGAGTGAAAAAGCTAAGGGAAAAGCTAAGTTCAAGCCCCTGTAATGGGGCTTAAAAAATTCATTCTAGAATTAAATATACCTTCCAAATTTTATAAACAATACATTTCTAGGAATTTAGGGTAAGAATAACTTACTCTTAATTGTAGAATTAGGGATATGAAGAATGAGGGTGAAGGTGTAGAAGAGCCTCAAGGGCTGTCCCTTGGGGGTTGATATTGAAGAATGAGTAGGCTCTGGAAAGTGAGAAATGTGTCAAGTGGGAAATTCCAGGAGACATCAAAACTCAAATTCAAAGGTGAGCTTAATTTTAAACTACTGGCACTTCTGCAGTATTTTGAAGAGTCTTTCGAGTCCCTCCTGGCAGCAGTATCTCCCAGATGACACCAACGTTGAAGACACTGACAGAACTAATTCCACTAACCACACAAATGCTTTTTTCATTTACTCACTCTTACTTAAAGCAATCTGTCATACTTTATTCTTCTCGGGTTACTTTCATCATCCTTGAATTATTTATTACACACATGTAAAGCCAAACTCTTGTTTTTATCTTAAGCTTTCCAATCCACATGGCTGACAATACAACCATGAATACATAATAAAAGTCTGTACATAAAAGCACCATATTCAATCAACAAGAGAAGAAAGGGGGTATATGGACTAGTAATTTTTTATTTGAAAGACTCTTTTTGGAGGGTGCTGGTATCCTGAGACCATGGAGCTTTCCTGATCAAATCTAATACTCTACCACTTGAGCTACAGCTCCACTTCCAGCATTTTTTTGGTGGGGGAAGGGTGTTTAATTGGAGATAAGAGTCTCACAGATTTTCCTGCCAGGCTGGCTTTGAACTGCAAACCTCAGATGTCAGCCTCCTTAGCAGCTAGGATTACAAGCATGGGCCACCAGCACCCAACTTGAAAGGCTTTCTTTAAAGAGAATGTTAATTGTTCTAATTACAAGGTATAATTACAGCTCAAAAACTCAAAACAAATAAAAGGGATAGCCAAGACCTGCATATCAATTGCTATAATAATGATACTTGTTAAGAGATTATTCAAATCAGTTCCATCATCTTTAAGACCACCCTGTCCAATGGAAATTCAGCCTAGTTTTCCAGAAGGCTTTATACTCTACCTCCGCTGCTTCTGGGCATGCTGGTCCAAACAGCGCAGAAATCTTTTCTCTCTGGACCTGGTTGATGAACATAGCAAGGGATTCCTTGGCACTGCAGGCTGAGTTGGTATAAGTGAACTCCCAGCTGAAGTTTCCAAAGCCTGCTGACTCTATGTTGACCTTGTCCATGGCAATCTGGAGGCCTGCTCCCAGCCTTTGCACACTGAATGGATATGAGATGTTCCAGGGGGCGTGGAGACCCACAGTGAGTTTAGCAGCTTCAAGCCAAGTCACCAGCACACTGGCAAAGAGCATCACCACCAGAGCTGGATGGTCAGCATGACATTCACGCATCCAACAGAGCCCAGATTCTCGTAAAACCTCAAGACCTGATCTGGGAGCCATGGTGGCCACTAAACAATGTGTCACCACTGAACCCTGAGAGGCTCAGACTCACGGCCCCACTCACAGCAAGAACTTATATCATAGTGTAGAGTCCCCTGAGGACCACAATTTGCTTCTATTTGGTGCCACTAATTAGAGGAAACCCTCTCTAACACAATCCAGAAGAGCCTGTCTTTCCAGAAAAAACAAAAAACAAAAAGACTTTAAAAAGGAATTCAGCAAGGCCCTGGACATTCAACTAATGATAGCACTAACAAACCTTCATGTTCCTGGGCCAATCACATAACCCGTCTGTTGCTCTTCACCGCTAAGGTCAGAATCACAAAAGCCACTAACATAGTCATATAGCCTGTTCTAGAATTTGGACTGCACTTGATATGAGCCAGGATGTGTTACTTCCCTCTCTGTGCCTCCATCTCCTGACCTATGAAATGGGGACACAGGTAATGAGGTCTTTCCAAACATCGGGTGATGATTAGAAGAGAACAGGCAAATCTACTTCTGGCTACAATGTTACCACTAAGAGCCATTCTAAACATTAGGTTTGATAAAGGTGGTGATGATTGTAATAATAACCATTGGGAGTGGTGATGATTATCAGAGTTATAGTGACAAATATTATTGTCAGATGAATTTTTCTTATAGGATTTTTTTTCTCCCTAGAATGTCAGCTAATGATAATGAGAAGATAGACGAACAGCTAGGCATGGTCTATCTCCATCACCTGGGCATAGGCCACTCACAGATGGGTTACTGATGAACTGATAGTTACCTTCCATCTACAAAGGACCGGGGCAAGAAGCCTGGAGCTGTTCTTCATTGTCTGATCTATTTTGGGGTTGGCAGGACCAGACTTCTGCTGGAAAGCCACTGCTATCTCTGGGTAAGATGCCCAGGCCATCAGCCAGGCACATCTGTATCAATCTAAAGGGTTAATGCCTATATTTTACTGACTTTCTTTTGGGTCACTTTGGCAGTAAAGGGTCTGGCATCTCACATTCATCTCAGGATTTGGCATTTTAGCACAGAAGACAAACGAAGATTCTCAAAACTTGATCTGTATCAGTATCTTCTGATGGCCAGAACAGGGATTCCACGGTCCCACGCTTGACCTTCAGAACAAAGATTTGCTCTGGCAATCTTCATGGAGAGGGTTTCTGTGGATCCCTAGACACACTAAGGTTTGAAAAGCCCCATTAATCAGAAGGGAGCAGAGGGACAGAGTAGGCAACAGGTATTCTCTACTTCTCTTCCTTCAATCTCAAACTCTTAAGGACGCTTATCTCTGGCCTAAGCTCAGAGGGAATTTCTAAACCTGTGGACTCATAGGGGTTACTTATCTCCAAACCGAATTCAGCTTTGATTTCTCCCTCTCTCTCCTGTAGGATTCACAAAATCCTCTGAATCCAAAGGCTCACTGGCTCCTAATCTCAGCTAGTCATCCATGGATCTTTTTTGTAGCTCAAGTATTTCAATATGTGCATAGGTTAGGGCAGGTCACTACACTTTTGCCTCAGTTTCTTTTCTTTCACAATGAGTATAATTAGATCCCTCTCCTATACTTAAAGACATGATGAGATTACAGAGTTGTCCCAAATCTCAATTCAGGAGGAGCTCAGAAAAAGAAAGTAGTGGTACATGGGCCATTGCACGGATCCTATCCTTATAACTAGAGAGCAGAGAGCAATGTATTATTATACTCTATGTGTCCCTTCCCCTCCCATTCTATAAACTTAAAAAAAAAGTATATCCCACTCTGGGAAACCTTTGAGTTCTTATGCATTCAGATATTGGCTCCTCTCGAGATGCTTTCAGACCCTGTAACTAACTGTGTGTCTCTCTTTAGAGCCCAGATCTGGCACTACGTTGGGTCTTTAAGCACATAAATTAATAGTATTTATAATAAATGTAAGTATTTTGTATTCTAAACCATTTACACGTGATTATGGCCAAAACCAATCAGTGATTCCTGTGCTGGTTTACAAAACAGGGACACATTGCTAGCTAGGTTGGGTGTTAGTAGCAGGATTTTCTGACATTCATTTAGTTTTGATGTTGTTTTCAGACAGAGTCTCACTATATGGACCAGGTTGGCCTTAAACTAACAGTTCTCCCTCAGACTCCTGAGTGCGGGCTAACAGACATGCACCGCCATTCCTTTTTTTTTGTGGGGGGGGGGGAGGAGGGTGGTCTGGTCGTGGGGCCTGAACTCTGGGCTTGGGCGCTGTCCCTCAGCTCTTCAGCTCAAGGCTAGCGCTCTACCACTTGAGCCACAGGGCCATTTCCGGCTTTTTTCTTTTTGCTTATGTGGTGCTGCGGAATCGAACCCAGGGCCTCAGGCATGTAAAGCAAGCACTCTACCACTGAGCCACCTTCCTAGCCCTGCACCACCATTCCTAAGAGCAGCTTTTAAATATGCACCTCCAAACCTTAAGAATATGTGCATATTTGACTCAGAAATTCCATTTTTCAGTTTATCATAAACAAAGAAAAGCATATGATTAAATGTAACCAGCTTCATCATTTCTCATAAGCAGAATTTAGACACAAATTTCACGTCCAGGAGTAGAGTTCGAAGATATAGTAGGTAGTGAATCCATACAGCTGAATATCATGCAGTCATGAAAAATGTTTTAGGGACCAGGAATTATGGACGTTTTCCCCCTTGCTTTGCTCACCTTAAATTTCTTTTTATTTTCTTTCTGTCTTACTGCTATTGCAATAAGAAAGAAAGTAAACATTTAATCTTCTTTAAAAAGTGGCCCTATAGATTGGTATTTGGGGTATAATCTCACAGCGATTAATCTGAATTCCTCAGTTAAGCTCAGGAGATTACGTCAGGAGCACTCCACACGGGATCTCACACTTCTAGACACCTGGCTTTGCTCTGGGGGATTTAATTCTTCTCTTCTGAGCTTGGCCCCTTCCTTTTCTTCTTAGCCCCTGGATGAAAGGGAAAGGGAGGCAGTCTGGGAACTAACCACCCTCAGCTGAAGAAGGGTTGCCATTGTTACCAGCCAACTCACTTGATTGGAAAGATTAGAAAGGCCTGTGGTTAACGCTAGGTTGGGACCCTTGAAAGGATTTTAGTTGCTGGCTGGGGCTGGCTGGCCCTAGTCTTCACTCCCACAGTCTTCCTCTCCCCCTAGGAAACACGTATGGCTGCACCATGCCAAGCCAGTATCACCAGGGATGATAGCAAGAGGCCACATTGTTTCACATTAACAGTACTTTGAAACCAAAGCTGTCTGGGTATAGCCAGCAGAAGCTCAGAGCATGGCTGGTGCCCCAAGGCTTAGCTCGGATTCTCTTCAATCTAATCAATCTGGCCTGTTTGGAGGTAAGAGGCAATGAGACAAGCCCATGGTGGCCTGAGGGGGAGAAGGGACAGCACACACACCAGCCTCTGCTGTGAACTCTGGTAGAAGGCATTCACTCCAGCCTTCACAGAACCAGCACGGCTGTTCTGAACCTCTGTTTTCTTCTCTGTGAGGCGGGGAAATAGTTCATCCCAGTGACCTCTGACCTCACCAGCTTCTGGATCTACAATCCCAGCACACTGGGATGATGAGATGTCATGTTGGGTGACGGTGGTCAGTTCCCTTTAGGGTCTAGCTTACAGATTCCTATTGAGAGGTCATTCCTTGGGGGTGGGGGAGGAGGAGAGTACAACACTCTCAAACCACATGCTAACCAGAAATAACAGCAAGGAAGAATGGCCATTACCTGTCAGAGTGTGAACCTCAGACTTCTCCACACGAGGAAGCCCTCAGCCCCTGCCAGTAGCTGTGGTGGTGTCTCCTCAGCAAAGGCGGGCACCAGAGAAGTGAAGATTGCATTGGGTGATCGTGTATAATAGGTTGGTAACTAGAAAATGGCTCAAGACTCCAAGCTACACTGCTTCAGAGGGCAGAGGTGAAGAGGCTCGGGCCTTGAGTGATTCCAAAAGGATTTGTGCAGGGGGGAAGGCCATCCCTCCCTCCTCAGAGCTCGACCTTCCCCCTGGGCGCCTCAACCCCATGCTCTTCACACTGGTTTCTACACAAGCAAAGAGTCTCACACCTGAGCCAGCTGCTTTTGGGAACCTGAGACTTCCAGGCAATGCTTTCAATGATTACATTTTTTTCCTGGCCGCCTGTGAATGGCTCATGCCCCTAATCCCAACTACTCAGGAGACAGAGGTCAGAAGGACTGCCATCCGAATCTGAGCCAAAAGTCCAAGATCCTTTCTTAACGAAAAACTGCGCATGTTGGTGTGTACTGTAATCCCAGCTATGAATAAATAGGAGGATCAAGATTCAGCACCAGACAGAAAAGGTCCAAACCCTATGTGAAAAACAAACAAACCCTGCAAGTAAAAATAAAGCAGGAGAGCCTGCTGAGATAATTGTGTGCCTCAGCAAGTTTGATGCCCTGAGTCCAAACATCAGAATGTCAATCATCATCATCATCATCATCATCATCATCACCATCACCATCATCACCATCACCATGTTTTCTTCTGGCTACAAATATAACCTGAGGTTTAAATGTCTGAATATTTATTTCATGGTCTTTGATCCTGCTTCCTGAATTGCTGCCCGCTGCCCTCCCCATAAAACCCTAGTGTGAAAGGTAAAATTCTGCCTCAGTAATCAGATATTTAATTATTAACAGTGAGGTAATTATTTCCCAAGCCACTTTCCATGCAATGTTCCATTTTCTAAGAACTTCTTTCTTAAAGTCACAGTGTCCCGAACACTGAGTGGAAGAGATGTATACTCATCTAGCTTTCTCTGGTGGTGACATGCTCTTGACCCATGAAAATATGTTTTTCATCAGTGACCCGTGTGTGATTAGGTGCAGGGCCTGGCCTTTCCCCTGTGCTCTGCAGAGAGAGGCAGGATGTGTCTTGTTTCTCTCTGCCCTCTTTAGTCCCTGGTCTGGAGCCACTGAAGGCCCTCCCACTTCCTGGCATTTCCTCTTTGCTCTTACTAAAAGCCAAGGCACTAAGGTTGCCT